ATTAGTTCGGTCAACGCAAGACACATTTTGCCAAACTTTCTGGGTCCGTAGATTTTAAACTCACACATGGCGTAAGGGCTCCAAGGAGACAGGTGCCTTCGGGACTTGGGGAGAAGGTTGGTGCATCGCCCCTGCTCCCCAGATCCCAGCCGGAGCTGCTCAGATCTCATTAATTTGAAAACCAAGGCTCTAGGAACTGGCCTCCTCTGTCTCTGGATGGATGGATGCTTATACGGACGCCACCCCCACGGGCCCTGCCTGCCTCACCCCGAGGCTCCGCTTTCTTACTCAAAACAGAAAGAAGCTATTTGTTACTGGATCCTAATTTCCTACCAGGAAATAACATTTATAGCTATTTTGAAAATTAGATGGGAAATGGGTAGACCCCTATGGGATTTCGTGTGAAAGTAAAAGATCTCAATGAGGAAGATGGGCAAAGCAGCAGAGGAAAAGAAAGCGACATTGAGAGCGGTAAGAATCTCACGTCTCGGGACAATGACCAGACATGCATCGGTGCTTTTCTACCGTGCAAGGTTTCTGATGTGTTCTGCCTTACAGATGATCTGGACTACTGCTCCAACTTGGAAAAAAATGGACCGAGATGCATGTAAAACACAGCAGGTCTAAATGGACAGTAAAAGGTAGAAATGCACCCGAATGTACCAAACTGCTTGCTAGGTTCTAGAATGAGCTACAGGCCAGCATGCTGTTCTACCCCTCACCTCTGTCTTCCCGCTATCTTGTCTGCCCTCTGTCCCTCAACACTGCCAGGCCCCTTCCTTGCTCAGAGAGCCTGCGCTGGTTGGCCCCGCTGCCTGGAACCTTCTCCAGATGTTCATACGGCTGACTCCTGGTCATCCTCAAGGGGTCACTCCAGCAAGAGGCTCCCTTTCCCACCCCAATCCCTCATGACACATTAGTCTGTTTCGTTCTCTTTATAGTTCCCTTCCCTGCCCCAAATTATCCAAGTTTCTTGGCTGTTAATTTCACCCAGTAAAATGCAGGCTCTTGTTCACTCTGACATCCTCAGTGTCTGCAGTGGTATCTGGTAGAGGGCAGGCACCCACGGAGTAGCTGTACACAAAGAACAGAGGAGGGGAGAAAGGGAGAGGCCTGAGATGGGAAGTTTATGATCAAGGGAGTTCCAAGATGAGGAGAAGAAATAAGCAATGAGGTTTCACGGGAACAGATCATTCAGGTGGGTTCCTATGATATTGGGGAAATATCTCCATCTGAGGGTAAGACCAAGGAGAGGACTCTGAAATTCTTCAAATCCAGAGTCACAGGCATGGCTTTGTATTTTTAAAAATATCACCCTGGAGTCAATGTGAAAAATTAGTTACAAAGAAACAAGCAAGGTGAAGTGTTTGGGGGCCTCCTCTGTGGCCCTGATAAGTCCTGCAGCCATGGTGACCTTCAAGGGAATAGCCAGTGGCCTGGGCAGGGGAGGCGGGCAGGGGGTAGCTATGAGGGTGCTATGAGGAGCAAGGAGGGAACACATCCAGGCTGGTTGCAGACATGAGCAGCGTTCACTAAAATCTTAGAAACTGTCAAAGAGGTAGGTTTGGTGGAGGAAGGTACAGACTGACCAGTTCAGGGGTGCCTCTGAGACATCCCTGTGGAAATGTCTGGTAAATGGCTGGCTATGCAGGTCTGGAGTTCATAAGAGACGTCGAGGTTGGAAAAAAACAAAGATCCCACGGACGTCACGAAACAATAAGTGTAAAGACTTAATGACTGGAGACGGAGAGAAACAGAGGGAAGTCTAAGGGTTACACACTTTCCGACATGGGGCTCTGTCAGAATGGCGGGATGGTGGATGGAACCCAGGACAGAGGAGAGATGAAATATTTGAAAAATCCTAAAACAATGGGGTTCTGCTCAGAAACTGCATAGGACCAAGCAGAGCTATGGTAAAAGAGTAGGACCCGGTACAGAGCAGGGGGGATGGTCAAAGCCCCGGAGAGATGTGTTTCAAGCCAGGCTTAGTGGGTGCTTGCTATGAAATTTCTAGGAATTGGGAAGCCATGCATCCCACGAGGCCAAATGACTATATTCCCGGTCTCCCTTCTTAACTAGGTGTGGCTGCATGACTAAGTTCCTATAAAAGATAGAAAGAGAAGTATGTGGTCCATCTGGAGACACTTCATGAAAAGGGAAGGGCACACATTCTTCTCCTCTTTTCTCCACTCTGCTGCCTGAAGCATAGATGAGATGGCTGGAGCTCCAGCAGCCCTTTAGTCCATGAGGATGAGGACCAAATGTAAGAGATGGCAAAGAAAGGAGCTAGAAAGTGCCTGGGCCTCTGACAATTTCATAAAGTGCCATAAACGATCTTATTTAAGCCACCGCCCCTTGAAGATGCTCTGTTATGTACAGTCAATCTTAATCCTAACCAGAATGCTAGCCAACTGGTCCGACACATCCCCTGCATTGCTGTCCCCTTGCTGGAGGTCACGTCATTGCCTGGACAGGGAATATCCTCCTCCTTGCCTGTATTTATTTAAATCCTGCCCATCCTCTGGAGGATGGATCAAATCCCACCTCCCACACGAGACTCCCCTTCCACTTCCTCCCCTGAACTCTGGCGCTGCCTGCCTGCCCCCACTCCTTGGGCATCTGGCCTCTGCCACCTTCACAGTGATTCATCCGTGCACACGTATCCCCTGGATCCTCAAAGAGGCGCAGGACCATCAAGGGCAAGGTCCCCAGTTTCCCAGGCCTTGTATTCTCTGGGCCCAGGAGGCATTCCATGCCAGGCATTGGATGCCAGGTCCTGTTGGCAGCGGCCCCAGGAAGCCTCTTTCACTTCCACCTGCAGCCAGGTTCAGGATGAAGCCAGAAGGTATGTAGACGCATTCAGAAAATAGAAGAGGCTCAAGTCCAAACAACCCCAGCTTACTTAAGGGCGTCTCCAGATTCCCTCAAAACATCGAAGACAGATGTGGAAGAAAACCGGTGCTCCGGCGTCCCCCCGCCCCCGCAAAGCAACCACATGGATTTGGAGCCCACAAGAGAGATCCCAAAGTCATTGTCAATGAACCCAAGGAAAAAGCTTGGTACATAAAGAGCCAATTAAGAGACGAAAGGTGTCCTGATGAAAGTAACACTGGTCCCTCTTTGAGTTGGGAGAACAGCCATTTATAACCGCGGCAGGTGCAGCATAAATGGCCGATAACAGGCCCGATGTGAAGACCTCTCTTTTCCCCGGTTTGAGCACGGTTTAGACGGCTGCTCCTTTGCCTCCTTCCGGATCTAAGAGTCCAGGATTCCATGCCAACCCCACATGGCCCCGCGCCACTAGGGAAGGGCGCCTGTGGACACGCCCCACCCCTCGGGGAAAGCCACCCTTTCCGGCCGCATCATCACTTGTGGCCACCAGGTGTCAGTAGCGAGCGAGGCGCGGCCCCTCCTGAGGCTTCGGGGAGCTTGAGCCAGACTCTGAACCAGGGTAGACATGGGATGCTGTGGCTTTGGGGACAAAGAGAACTATGGCCACATTCTCAGGCACGCATGAGTATTTCATTCCATTTACCTGGTTGCCAACTCACCCTGCAAACTCACTGTGCACCCTCTGGGATGTTTTCAATGCACTATCTTTCACGTGCTCCGAGAAAAGATTCAGGGCTGCTCGCATCAGTAAGGACAGAGGTCTTTCTTTTCTTCCCTCCCCCCCCCCCCAACCCCAGGAAAGTGACAACATAAAGCAGGGTTTTCTACTCCTCGCCTAGCCTCCCCACAGAAGCTACCAAATAACTGTTCTAGCACTTTCTCTTTATACGGAGGTTGGAGATGTTTGGTTTGTAATGCTTTGGCGACAGCTTGGGTATTATCGGGTGCTGGGCCCACAGGATGCAAAGACCAGTCAAGAACCTGCACTGTGCAAAGCCAGAATGAAGTCTCCCTTCACTGCCTGCTTTATTGCCCTGGGTCTAAACTGGTTTCTCTCATAGGTTGTAGCATCTTCAACAGGGAAACTGGATCATGAGTAACAGTCATTCAGCAGCAGTGAGAGCCATACTTCATTGGCCTTTTAAAACCCCGGATGTCGAGAAAGCTTTCTCTGCCCATCCTACAAGGGCGTCCCTCTCCAGGCTGAGGGCACCTCCTTTGAAACACGAGACCGTGCCAAGCCACGCCCACTATATCCTCAACACCAAGCACTACAGCCCCTCCCAGGGGCCACGATGCCACTAAAGAGCACCCAGCCACCCAAAAGAAGGCACTCTCTTTACCTTGGCCTCTCCACATCCAGACACAGGACTCCCTGATCCCCTGTAATGCTCTCTCTGAGTACTTAAGGTGTCTAGTGGGAGTTTCACAGTCAATTATCCCCTTCACTTGAATCCAAGTACGCCTGGTTTCAAATATCTCACAAGCGACACGGGGGGAGGGGGGGTGACAGAGGAGAGACACAATCCTCTGGATGAAGGACCTTCCCAGAATTTAGCATTCTGCAAATAGCTTGGAGTCCCCGTCTTGCCACAAGGAAACACTCTTAAGGTTTTGATGCTAAATGGCAGGAGTGAGACCCACGACCTAGAAAAGCAGTCTTGTAAATGGGGGACCAAATGCTGGACCAACAAGTACCTTTAGGACCATCACTGAAAAACGCAGAAGCAAGACATTTCTGGATAGAGACGGCGACCACCAAAGATGCTGGTTGGGGCCAAAGTCCCAATGGGGTTAGCCTAAAGTCTTGCCATTGAGCTAACTTATCTGTATCTGAGTTTCTTTGTTTGCAAGGAGCATTACATCAAGTGATAAGGGGGAGCTCTAGGGCATCTTTCCAGGCAGAGATGATGTACAATGATACCCAGGGTCTTGGCTTAGCCAGGGAAACTGCTGTCTCTCTCCTTTAATCTTGGATTCCTGGTCCCGGTTGCATTCTGCCCCACTCCAGACATGCTGGAGCTGTGTCTTCTAAGAACAAGTGTTTCCAGGTCTGGACTGAGAAACACAGCACCCGCAGATCTGGACAAGCAAAACCCCAGTCTCACCATTCGCGGATGACGAGTAACAGTGGAGGACGTTGCCCGAGGATGAGGTGCTACAGTTCTGCCACAGGTCGGTTGCGTGTCCATTGCCCACGACCCATTGCTAGGAAGAACCAGACATGATAAATCAGACAAGCTGGGGAGGAGCAAAGGGAAGGGGAGGGTGAAGACGAAGGGAAGGCAAGAGCAGCCTCATCCACCTGTCTCTCTAGCCTGCCCCTGCCCTGCCCGCTGCGCCTGGCCAGAGGCCTCAGTCATGCGGGGGGGAAAAATGAGAGAGATGGGGGCTGGCTCAGACATGGTGCTGCCAGAGGGCAGTGTTTGCAAGTGAAAAGCACTTTGTTATTAAAAAAGTAGCACATGTGTGTGAGCTAGTATGTGCAGAAATATGTACCGTAGAAGAACAAGGCTCAGACTCAGCCCAGGACACCTGCATTCAAGCCAGCTCCCCTCCCTGATCTCCTGAGTGTCGCTCCCCCAAAACCACCACCCCTCGGAGACTGTCTCCTTACCCATAATTCCTACTAATCCAACAAGATTAATTAAGACACAAGTCCCCAACATCAGTATTTCTCCTTCTGACATAATTCTCTCTCAACCTTTCAACCAGAGGGGAATCTCATGCCTGGAATTTTCCCCTACATAAAGAAGTTAAAGCCACAGTCACCTCACTGCCTGAAGTCTCAAATCGAATGTGCTAGATGTCTGATGGGTCTGTGACCTCAGTTATACCCTGATGATCTGTTCCTATACTGGAGGCTTAATAGAGGAAGGCTCTGGGTCCCCATCATAAAGCAGACTCAGGACTGTGAATTCTTTTTTTGGAGGAGCCCATGTTAACCTTCCAATATTCGGCCCTCCAGGGGTGTTTTATGAACTAAGCAGCCCAGCTGACCTATGGCATGTGGAGAAAAACAAAACTTCATTAATACTCTGCTTCCTTCCTCCATGAATCTACAGCGAGGGATGGGGGGGAAATGCTACGGAATCTCATCAAAGGAAGGACGGGGAACCCTGGCTCTGTACCGACATTATCTGGCGTACACGGAGGCCTGCGCAGCTAACCTGGACCAGCGATTGCTTCCTTCCTACCCCTGACTCTGCTACGGTTTTCTCAAAACAACTGAAAGGGGGCAGATTGCCAGAAACTGCAAAACGCCCCGCGGGGACGTCTGAGACTTTACTTTGTCTCGCGGCGCTTAACTAGAGGGAGCCAGGCCGGAATCATCGCCCGGGGGAGGCCGGAGCCCTGGGACAAGGTGGGGGGAAGAGTGGGACAGGGGTGGGGGGGAGACGGGGGTAGGGGTGGGGAGGAGAGGGGAGCTCGGGGTGCCCCGCCCGCCGCCCGCCGTCCGCCCGGCACTCACGCTGACAATCGTGGAGACGAACAGCAGCACCAGCACCGCGACGTGGAGGACGATGATACCCAGCAACAGGAGGAGCATTGTGGCGGCAAGTTGGGTTCAGCGGAGTTCCTGCCTGCCAGGAAAGAGAGCCGAGGCTGGACGTGAGGCCGAACCTACCGGCGCGAGCGAGCGACGGAGGAGGAGCGCGCGGAGGGAGGCTCCCCGCGCCGGCGGAATGCAGGGGGCTGGCACCGCGCCCGCCCGCCTGGCCCGGCCCGGCCCGGGCGCCTGCATGCCTCCCGGGGGCCGGCCGAGAGAGGGCAGCAGCCGACCGCAGCACCCCCGTCCGGCAGCCGCGGGGCCCTCCTCCGACAAAACATCCCTTTGCTTTGGGAACAAAATACGGGGTACGCACGTCGAAGTCACCCCCGGAGGAGAGGTTTTTCCCGAAGGACGAGCGGAGGCCGCGGCACATGTCCACCCACTCGGGGTGGCCTGCGAGCCCAACCCCACGTGGGGAAGGGGACAGAAGAAGAGTCTGCCCCTTTTCCTACGGAGGGGGAGGTGGAGGGTCAGGGGGTAGGCGCCCAGATTTCTGCCGGAGGCCTGGGGACACCGGCGGCACGCTGTGAGGGAGAGCGCGCGGCGGGGAGCTGGTTTCCCAGACCCGGCGCGCTCCGCATTCCGTTAGTCTCCGGGTTTCCACCCGCTTCTGCCAGCGCTGGAGAGCCGTCCTGGCCCCAGCTCCCCCTGGCATCGTCACGGGCGGCTCCGGAGAGGAGGCGCAGACGGGGGAGTGTGGGCAGGAAAGAGTGGCCCAGAGAGTGGCCCGACCCTGCGCTTCCCGCCCACTGCGTGCTTCCCTAGGAGGCCCCGGCGGGCCGGGCCCTGCGCTCCCGGGCTGGCCACTCGCCGGATCGCGGGGGTCCCGGCCGCGCCCCCGGCACGCACAGCCGAGACGCAACCGGGTCCAGTCTCTGCGTTCCGGGACGCGCGCCCAGGAGCCTGCATGGAGGTGGGCAGACGTCGGGTGGGAGGGAGAGGCGGAGGACGAAGGGCTGAGTCCCAGGAGAACCGCAGCCTGCCAGAGCTGGCAGGACATCTTCACTGAGCAGTTGTGCGGTCCTAGTCCCTCATTTTACAGACCTTGGGGAACTGAAGACCCGGGTGACCCGTTAGAGGATACGTACGGCTGTGAAAACCCTGCTGCACTTGGAGGGACCGTTTCAGTACAGGGCCTTGGGCCAGAGAGACGACATTTCAATAATTCAGTTTTTAAAGTACCCAGAGTACCAGGCCCCTCCGCTGCGCTCCGTTAGCAACACATTCAAAAGAGCCTTGGAATGTCCGGGAAGAAGTAAGCCCGGTTTTCCGATGTCTCCCAGAAGGTTTAAATTAAATCCAGTGGCTCCTAGAGCCAGGGAGGGGCAGAGAAGGCTAATCGGAAAGAGGTATGTGGCTATTAATTGGGGGGCCACGGGGGTCCAGCAGCCCTCCCCCAAGGTGTCCACAGCAGGGACCAATTTTCCAATGAGTCCCCAAGTAGGCGCTTCTCCAGCGAGACGAAAGCTGCTCAGCCCCTGCCCCACATTCCGGACACCAGCACTCGCGCCCCTTATGATTTATGTACCATAAGGCAGGCCACGCCGTATCCCTAAACTATGGTAAGAACCGTGGTCTGTCTGTCAGAGCTCGGAAAGACAGCTCGGAGACCCGGCCAGCCCAAAGCCCGCGCCTGCTCCGCGCCTTCTGGCACCATCGACGGAAGAAGCCCATGTTTCTCCTCCATCTCCTCCACTTTCCCCTACCAAAGCACTTACAGCCCAAAGGGATGGTTGTCCCCGATCCTCAAAGTGGCCTCCGGCACAAACTCTCGGTGCGTTTGCTCGGCTGCTGGCGTCGCCGAAGACAGCTGCGCTGCGGGGCTGCGCGCGCGAAGCGAGGGGCCAGAGGGAGGCTCCCGGCGTTCCCCTTTAACGGGAACAACGCCCTGTCTGCGTCGCTGCAGTAGGGTGTGTCCCTGGGTCAGCGTGTGCAAGGGGGCGGTCCTCAGGGAGGAGAGAGGGCAGGAGGGAGGGAGGGCACGCAGGAGACAGTTACCCGGCCTTCAATCAGCCCCAGGAGAAAGTCGATCCCTGCAAAACCGCTGCGACTTTTACTCGAAACTAGGCGGCAGCTGAGCGTTCTCACCTCCGCTTCCTCTGGCTCCCCGAGTTCCTGGACACCCAAGTGCTGGCCAATAAACTGGTCCCTCCGCCCCCTCGGCCACGTGGGAAGAGCCCTCCCGAGGTCGCCCCCGCCGGTGCCCAGCGCTGGGCTTCGGGGCGCGCGCAGGCGGACTGCGCCCACGCGGGGGGCCAAGGCTGGATTCCTCTCCTCCCGGAATGGGGGAGCAGGCACTTAAGGGCTGGAAGGTGTCTCTCTCCTCTAGGGTGCGGGCGCGCCTGGCCTGCCCTGGCATTTTGCCGGGGCACACCTGCCCCGCGCCCGCGTGCCCGCGCTGTCAGTGTCCGCACTTAGGTGGTGTGCCGGGTTCCGAGGACTCGAGGGGACCCACTGGCGGACCCTGCTTGGGTGAGAATTAGCTGGAGGAGGGAGAGTCCTGCCATCTACAGAACAGCATCCCTGGGTGCGGGATGGGGGTGGCGCGGTGGGAAGGGGGTCTGACTCCTCCTAACCTGGGCAAAACCAGACCACAAGTGGGTAAGCTCCTGGCCAGGCTCCCAGCCTCGGCTGGCGTCCGGGCCATAGGGTGGGGAGTTGGCCATTGGAGGTCGGGGAAGAACAGCCAGGGAAATCCGCTGATTCATAGTCGCCTGAACGTGGTCCGCCCAGCGTCACAGGGAGAGAGGCTAGCCCTTCTGGGCGTGGCACAGGTGGGTCCAAGTCAGGCTCTCCGATGGGAGACTCTTGATGCACCAACAAGGAGACTTAATGTGGATTCTAAATGTCTTTGCTTACTAATGCAGCCCTTTCACACCCACAGGCACACACGCTCCTGCTAGTGTCCTGTGTCATAAAACCTTATCGCTCTAAATGAGTCAAACGATTCCATAAGAATTTACTCTTTGAATGTAGCTGCTTCGGGTAGCTGATGGCATATTCTTATCTTTAAGTAAAAGTACATTATCTGAAATAGTCTTCCAACAACGGTCTTTTTAAAAATTTTTTGTGTTATGAGAACAAAAAGAAGGTGACATGTAAAAATTTTACTCAACGCCCATTACGTGGCAGGAAACTTAACAGGACTTGACGCACGCCCTGGGAGAGGGGGGTAGGGGTAATGCTTAGGGACTCTGGCTCTGGGCTCAGACAAACCTGATTACTCAGGATTGTGAACTTGAGCCAGTAGGTGAAGTTGGATGAGCTTCTGTTTTCTCATCCCCAAGCAGAACTGGTACTGCCTATTTTATGGGGGTGAGTAAAAGGAATGAGGTGTGTAAAGCAGTTAGCATAGTGCCTAGAACATAGGGACCAGGACTCAGTAAATTGTCACCATGGTTATTATGATATCATCTTTAGCCCTCAAGGCAAGGCAGACACACACCCCCCTCCGCCAAACTAAAATAGCTTCGAAATCCCACAGGTCTAAAGTTCATATGCAAGTAGAAAAACCAACCAGAGGAATAGCACTGTGTTCTCTCCTCCTGGGTCATTTAATAGGTCAGCAGTGCCCCAGGAATCATGGCCTCACTTTATACCACTCAGACTTTTATTTTATTTATTTAACCAACATTTATGTGGTCACTTTGTCCCGAGGACTATTCTAAGCACTTAACAAATATTAGCATATTGAACTGGGATTTTCTTTCTCTTCCTTTCTTTCTGTTCCCAGTAACCTTTTTCATGAAGTGTACACATCTAGAAAAGCACACACATTGTAAAGCACGGCGTGTTTCCTTCATCTTCCCTGAACCCGATATTTTAGTCAATGAGCAGGTAATACCGCGCGGTGGTTTTCAGAACACGTGAACCTGAACCCTTTGGTCCAGCCTTTACTGCCTCTCGCCTGCCTCCTGCCTGCCCGGTTCCCAGGGTAGAAAAAGAAAACACTGCCCGGGGGTTGGCCATACCCAAGGACCAGTCAGTGCTTTGCTACAGGTGGAAACTTCTCCCTGACCTGCTTCCCAACCCAAGGTCCCCCTGCCAGCTGTGTGTGCAGAGCTGTTTCCCATCAGGGAAATAGCATCGGGTCCCCTTTCTCCCTTCACATCTGGATGGGCTGGTCTTTCTAGATGCTCTCAGAGAGTCCTTCTCACCTCCCCAGCCGGAGTATACAGCCAGCTCCTCAACAGGGATTTAAAACATCCTCTGATTTTCTGTCAATTCCAACACAATGCACCATCTCCACTGCAATCACTTCCAGTCATGGTTTGCAGCGGATGGGGGATCGGGCAGCTCTCCCAGAAGCATAAGCACATACTATCCAGAGGGACAGTTTGCCAAGAAGACTCACCAGGCCAAACGGTGTAACCCCTTCCTTCACGTGGATTTCTTTGCAGTCAAACACAAGGGACGCCAAGGCAAGGCCCTCCCCACAGGGCGACGGAGAGACTGGCAGGCAGACTCTAAGCCCCACTGCTTGCAACCAGGATCCCCGAGACACGTTCCCTGGTAGTGCTCCTTGTAACTGAAGCCAGACCAGGCGTCTTTCCAGTTTATTCAGGGGCTGGTCCAATGCTGGGATATGTCATGGTGGCCTGAGAGCTTCTCAGCCTCTACTACTTAAAGAGACAGCGCCCCGTTTTGTGTACTTGCCAGAACATAGTGATCCCAAGGGGCCCCCCGGAGCATGGAGAACCTGGGATCAACAGGGAAAGGACTTAGAATATGCCTGCAACCTGGGAAGCCAAGCCTGCTCCCACTTGTGCCAGCCGGTGTGCCAGCTCCCAGCACCCCACCTCTCATCCCTCCGGGGAATTCCTCAAGGAGGAAATCCACCATGCAAATGGTCTGTGTGCATCGTGTCATATGTGCTACCTATAGAATGAGTCTCATTTTTAATCAACATCATCGTTTTCAGGAGCCCCAACATTGCACAGATAATGCTGACCTTCCTGAGATAATCCTATTCAAGTAAACAAGGCTCTGATGAAGATATCCCAGCCCGTCCCGCAGGACAGGCTAGATTGACGATTGCAAAAGTTGCAGAGAGGCAGACACACGAAGATGCCGTCTTCTTCAGGCTCTTTGCACTCTTCCTTCAGGCTCTCAGAAAGGGTCCTGCATCTCTAGCAAGTTCTCCTGGGTGGAAACGCTGAGACAAGGACACTTGGTTGTTTTGAAGGAGTCTCTTGGAATTCTGGCAATTTCCCCCACCCCTTATGTCAGGGGAGGGCGAGGCCACCTGTAGTGCTCTGTAGAGTTTGGGGAAGTCTTTCTCTGTCACAAACACTTTATGTTTCACTGGGGGGGTCAGAAGGGGGTCCCAAAGGCCCTCTCCCCATTCTGCTCCCAGCCAGGATCTCTCTGGTCCCAGTGAAACAGTAACCCAGCCGTGGGTCCCATTAGATCTGACTGCTTGTTAAAACGATGGAGAGTTTTGCATACGGCCTGGCCTGGACCTGTGTGCAGAGCGGCTGAGTCAGTGGCTTGAGATGCATCTCAGGTGTGGGCCATTTTTTACATTCCTCGAAATGTTCCTGTGTCCAGCCAGACTGTCACAAGGTGTCAGATGGTCCCCGGTGTCCTTCTAGCTGCTTTCCGTCGTGGAGCCCAGATGGAAGTAAGGCCCAATGTGAGCTGTAGGGTTAGACAAGTTATGGTTCTGCCTTACCAGATAACACAGGGGTGTGTGTGTATATCTAGGGTGTGTGTGTGAGAGAGAGAGAGAAAGAGAGACAGACAGACAGAGAGTTGTTCCCTCAATCCTCCCCGACAGGGTGGATGAGGGAGGGCCCAGTGAGCATGACTTTGGGCTTTTCCAGATAACCCCCCTCCTATATGACCCCCACCCTGGCCTGTGATCCTACCTAAAGACTGCAGGACGAGGTTTCTGCCCCTCAGGCCGGACTAAACCTGAAGACATCTGACATCATATCTGCTCCAAGGGCTAAGAATTCAGAGGAAGAAGAGTAGGGCAGGGTGCAGGTGGGAGGCATGGATTTTTCTTCCAGCTGGACAGTGCCAATAGGATCAGCCCTCCATCCTCCCAAGAGCTGCTTGTTCCAGGACCAGCTCCCTTGGCCCTCTGTCTCCTCCAATCCCCTCATCACCTGCAACCAAGCTCTGAAAACTTGCTGGCTTTGGCTGAGACCTGTTTGAGGAGTTCCTTGGGGGCATCCAGGCACCAGAGCTGGTCCCTGCTGTGTTCCACCATCAGGCGCCAACACACTTGTCCCTACACACCTGGATCAGGCTCTCTGCCTCCTCCTGGGCCTCTCCCTCCCCTGATCTGGAGGCCCTCCTCGCCCAAAAGAAACCCCAGTCCTGTGTTGAGCAGTGCATCCTTGGGGCTATGGAGAAAATCCCCTGGGGTCACTTACATAATAATGAATAACATATTGATCAAGTCATATTTTACTTCTATTTATTATTTCTGCTCATTTTATAAATAGGGATGATGAGAATCTCGCAGACTGGGAGCCCGATACGGGCTCGATTCTAGGACCCCGGGATCACGACCTGAGCCAAAGGCAGACACTTAACCAACTGAGCCACTCAGGCATCCCTCTTTATAACAACCTTATGAATAGGCACCCTGATTGTCCTTTTTCCATCTGAGGGGAAACTGAGGCACAGAACAAGACACTGAGTGGCTTTCTCAGGACACCCCACCCCATGAGAAAACAGCAAAGGCCAGACGCGAAGCAGGCATCCTGGCTACAGAGCCCATACTCTGTACCCCATGCTATCTTGTACCCTAACTTTGGCCTTCACAGAACATCTGTCCTTTGTCACATCATATAATCATATCATACACATCATACACACCAAATAATCTGATTTCCTTTTTCCACCAAAGTTACTGGTACACTCTATCTATTTCTACATCTGCATTTCTTTTTTCCATTTAAAAAAAAAAAAAAAAACAAAAACAGGAAAATATCCCAGCACCTCCGCGGTCTTTAACAAGCACCCAGTAAATTACAGATATATTATTTCCTAACGTTATAGGACGGCTTGCACCAGTCCTATGAGCTCCCCTCGCAAGTGTCCTGCCTGCTTCTGTGGGCCTGGCCTCCATGTCGCACACCCGTGGAGTCCTGCATCCCGCCGCTGACAGATTTGATAAGAACATCGCGGTCATCCTCACGGGGACTAGGACCTAAGCAGGCACTGGAAGTGGGACGCAGCCCCTTTTTCTCTGCATTTTGAGTTGCGGAAATGCTGCCACCCATAGTGGCTTACTCCACTGGGGGTGTGGGGAAGGTTTTGACCATCTTCTATGTGAAGAAGGCAGGGCTTGGAGAATTTGCCATGTTTCTTCTAGCCACCGGTGAGTACATGCCAGGGCTGGGCCCCAAAGCAGTTCCTCTGATTTCCAAACTGTGATTTTTCCATCATGTGGACTCCCCAAGGCGGGGGGTGGGGGGAGGTGAGTCTTAATTGGGCAATTGTCCTGTTGATGAAGTTGTCGTCAGAGCCTCAGTGTCTCCAGGCGCTGGGTCAGTATCTGGCGAGGTGTTTACACCATAAATGAAGCCTTTCCTGTCTCACTGCAGTCAGCAGCCTGTGTGGGCGTTCTTGGCGAGGCCTGCACACATCTGGTCTGGAAAGGTCCTCAAAAGGGAGGTTACTGCCTCATCTACACTCCTCTGACTCTTCTGAGCAGCTTAGTATTAAAAGCTCAAGCACAGGGGGAAAAAAGGCAGAGGGGGAAGAGAGAAAGGAAGGAGGGAGGGAAGGGGGAAGACAAAGGAAAGAGAGGAAAGAGGAGGAGAAGGGAGTAGAGAAGGAATGGAAGGGACCAGTTTGACTTCCCTGAGCAGATTCCTGTAAATACACATGAGAACGATGGCAAATCCAAGCCCCCAGAAGATGTTCTCTGTGACCAACAGAAGCAGGTAGAAAACAGCCTGCAGACACACACACTTAAGTTGGCTCAGGGCCCATTCCCTCAATTACTGTCTTTAAAATTCACAATTTTATCTTGGGACAAATTTCGTCTTTAAGTTCCTTCACCTGTGGAAACGAGAGAGCACAGAACGATTATGCTGTGCCCTTGGAACAATACAAAGTACAAAGAATTCTTTGTTCCCGAAAGTTTGTTGCTTAGGAAAGCCAGATTCCATAGATGCAAGCAGGGGGGGCGAGAAAGGGGACTTTTCTGACATCTCGTGAGCTAGTGGACGAGGGATCTGGGAGCAATTTAAGTAGGAGAGGGTCCAAAACTGACATGCCCTTGGGATGGAAAACTATGAAACCTTCCTAAGACTCTGAACTCCTCAGGGACATTTTCTGCTCCAGGCCAGCGTCAGGCTCATGGAGGTGAGGAAGGTGGTCAGTCTGGCCACACAGGTGGGGCTGGGATAGGCGGGAATGGACAGATTTTCTGGGCCCCACAGACCAGGCACAATAGTGCCAAGGAAGGCAGCCCAGGCTGCAAGTCAGAGGCTCTCCTTTCTCAGGGAGGTGGTTAGGAGAGTCCACTATAAGCCAAGGGAATGCTGGATTCAGATAGATGAGGCCACACCGAGCTATGGGCACGTTAATCTCCTGCAAGAAAAACAAGGTGTCCACCAGCCATCCCCGAAGACAATCTGAGTGAACAAGCCCCAGGATACATCGTTGTCCTTACAATGCATCATCTGACAAATGCCTCTGAGTTGGAGGGACAGCAGTAGCACTACAAATGAACTTGAACACAGATGTTTTCTTCATCTGAGTCCCTGAACCACTTATCAAGTGTGAAACCTCAGCTCAAGCCAGGGGAGTTCACAGACAAAGGCCAGATCCCTTTGAGAGGTTCAAGACAGAAGTGGGCAAAGCTTCAAACATGTTTACTCCTCCTTGTTAAAGACCGGGGAATATCGATCCAGGGGACTTCAGTGGTAAGCCTGGGTCTCCTGTGACAATTACGTTAGAATTCTGATCCAGAAATTAAAATTCTAAAAGTATATCTCACAGGAGTGATGGATAGGCAATGAGTTGGCCATTAGAACCCTTTTTACCACGAAGGACAATGGGAATGTCCTGAATCTCAAATCATGGGGAAAGGACTGAGGGAATTTGCTGCAGCCGTAAGATGAGATATCATGTAGACATTAAAAATAACATTGAAAAAGGATATTTAATTAAATGAGGGAAAGTCAACGATGCGTACTTAGTGGGGAAAACATTAGGAAATAATATATCTGTAATTTGCGGGGTGCTTACCAGGCAGTCTGCTAGCCCTCCCATTTAATACCTACAACAATCTCAGGAGGGCTGAATATCTCTGACCCCTAGGACACTACAAGGTTTAGTAGTGCCAAGGGCACACAGCTGGAAAGGTAGAGCCAAAATACAAATGTTGACAATCCGAAGGCAAGACCCTGCATTCCCAACCCCCAGACTCCAACAAATGGAGACGCATCCCGAGTTCCATGGTGACAACAAAATGAAAGCAAAATCTGAAAGCCCACCAAGTTTGAGAATGCAGAGCAACACTGTGTTTCCAAGTTCAACATCACATGGGAAAAATACATTTGCCTGGAACTGAACTGATCCCAGAACCAATCGTGAGTAATAATCACCCG